TCATCATCATCATCATCATCATCATCATCATCGTCGTCGTCGTCGTCGTCGTCGTCGTCGTCATTATCATCATCATCATCATCATCCTAAACGTATGGTTGGCAGACTCTGGGCTAGTCTACATCCTAACGGTCCAGTCTACATTCTTCGAGAAATGTTCTGTTCATAACGAAATGAGATGTTTGATGTGCTTGCATTCCATGAAAAAAACAACTCGACTCGACATAATTTATCGTTAACAACAAGTCCATCTTTCGTAATGGGCAGGGCAATATTTTCTTTTGTTCCTTCTTTACCTACATTTATTTATAACCTAATTCTCAGTTTGCTAAGCCTACGTTTTGCCAATGACGTGTTCGTTAGTCCGTGCTTATATGAAAGTAAAAAAGTTTTAGTACTGGTATGTTTTTATTTGATAAACCATAACTTGATCTTGATGAAAAAATGATTATCCATTAAGGAGCTTGTTTTACTGGACTCATGGGAAATTTCTCTTAGCGCGGTAAAGAACTTCATTTGCCATAATCAAGCAGTCTACACGTTTGATCCTTTTGCTCTTGTCTGTTCTAGGCCCCATTGTCCTAATTTTTCGATTAGCCTCCATTTGATGTTCAAATAATAGTCACATGATGTTATTCAACGTCAGCTCTCATAATAGTCTCATACCCCTTTCTCCCCCTCTCTCTCTCTGCCTCTCTCTCTCTCTCTGTCTCTCTGTCTCTCTGTCTCTATGTCTTTCTCTATCTATCTATCTATCTATCTGTAAAGCAAGTGCCACAAATTGTCATGTCTTACTAAAACTGAACTAAAAACTAAAGAGACCTATAAACTCCTTCAGAGCTGTTTTCATCGTGTTTTGCGTGCGTTTATATGTTAACTTTCTGGTCGATATTGTCGTTTATCATCCGTCTCTTTCTTTCTACCTTCAGGTGGCAGCATATCTCTGTGGAGCTGGGTACTCACGAGATACCCTATGATGTCACAATATTTGTGGCCGTCAAAGAGCCAAAGGAATTTATTGCAATCGATGACCTACAGTTCATTGATTGTGAGCAAGGTGAGTACGATGACAGAGAACATCCTCGCGCTTTTCAATGTATTTAATTCATAATATATTATTGTAACAATTCCTTTATGCTTACGCGTACTATTTACTAAAGTAGTCACGCTAGTCACCATTTCCCTCTTGTCATCATTTCCTGTTGGTTATTATCTGAGGATGGTTACCACTACAGTCACACTAGTCACTATCTCAGATCTCACACTAGTCACTATTTCAAATCTCCCACTAGTCACTATTTCAGATTTCATACTAGTCACTATTTCAGATCTCACACTAGTCACTGTCTCAGATCTCACTCAAGTCACTATCTCAGATCTCACACTAGTCACTATCTCAGATCTCACACTAGTTACAACCCCAAACTAGTCACTATATCACACAAGTCACCATCACAGCCAAACTAGTCACCATGATATAACCATTTCATTGTATGTATCTTATCAATCCCCCCCCCTTTTTTTTTCTTGATACGTTATTAGACTTTATAGGCAAAAGACCCCAGTCAAGGGTGCTCCAATTTATCAGTTTAAACTTGATGTGCAACCTGTTTATTCTTTTTTTATGTGAAAAGATATACAACATTCTTGTTGAGCAAACAAAAAAACCGAGTGTTTTTTTTATTGATATACATCTCAAAACAAAACTCAATAATTCTAGCATACCGATTGTTATTCATGAATGTATTTCAAACTTAAACTATTTGGATTTTATAAAAGGTTAGACTCCCATTACAGTAAATGTGTTTTGGTGGGATATGGGGTCGTCTTCAAAATGGCGAAATGATACCATCAGAAATCGCAGGATCAGGTTTGACGTGAGTGGAAAGTTGAGGAGTTCCAATTCTCTTTTCCTTCTACAGTTCCGTCATTGCCCCTGTCGTGCCCGTCGAAGAAAGATTATCAGTGTGATGTCACGCGCAAGTGTCTCTCCAGAGACCGACTCTGCGATCTGGTCTCAGACTGTGTGTGCGGCGGGGACGAAGCTGAGGAATTGTGTGGTAAAAAACTTGTTGTTGTATTCAATCATCATCATCATCATCATCATCATCATCATCCTCCTCCTCCTCATCATCCTCCTCCTCCTCCTCATCATCATCATCATCATCATCATCATCATCATCATCATCATCATCATCATCATCATCATCGTTGTTGTACAACATATACAAGATCTGGGTATATTTTAGACACGTTATGTGTATTCAAAACAATCATCATCATC